ATTTTTTTATTGCAGCCATTGATTTTCTTAGTTCCAGACATACATTATGTTTACACTATTCTCCCCTTTGATGTTATTGTTCAACTTTCTAAGGTGCTGAAGTTACCAAAGACGGGTTTTGACGATCATTGGACATTAGAAAATAACATAAATGCTTTTTCAAGAATCTTATAAGTAAATCTGTTTCTAACTCAAGTTACGACAATACCCTTCTGTTTATCTTTCATGTGTTTATCATAACATTTATTAATGGTATTAGTATCAATTTATACATATCTCCAAATATAAGTCAATTTTAATCAAGGGACAAAATGTTCCATTTTCTTGAGTTGGCAAAAAACTTTAACCCGGAGAACACAAGTGCGACCTATATGAAAACTGTCAAATGTCCTCTAGAATCTGAAATGTCATAAGTTGTCTTTTTAGTTGAATTATCTGTCATTTTTCATTTTCATTTAAGTTCTTTTTGGGATTAAACAAAAGGAAAAACAACATAATTTCGTTGTATGAAAAAAATTTGGAGTATAAGGCTACAATTAGTATAAAAGCCAACAATGATAGTTCATAACATTGGCCTAACTCATCTAATTTTTTATCACACACTAAAAGAACAAATAAAAGAATAAAATTACAGCTGCAATGAAAACCTTGTTTTGTGTCGCAATAAGTTGGCATAAAACTCAACAGTTCTTGAATATAGGAAGAGTCTACTATTCAAAAATGAAATTTGAAACTATAATAAGTAACCAGTTCGTGTAGATGTGCAGTCCGTAATCAAATCCAACCGTCCGAGTATACCTGAAGGGCTTATGAGAGAGCATGACAAAATCACCGATGAGAAATTCCTTTGGTGGCAAGTTAAAAAGATTTTTGAATGTCGAATTCCTATGAGGTGACTTCAGATTGAGCTGTCAAGAAGTTAGAATAATTCGTATAGATGTGCAATCCGTAATCAATATATTGCAAAAGTTAAAAGATTTTTACAAAAAAATGAAAATAAAACGCCCTAAAAGAAGAAGTGTAAAATGGTCATTTACCAAACTTTAGATGGCTACAAAAAAAAAAAAAAAAAAACACTCTTTGTTCATACTTACTTCACACAGACATCATTTTAATAATGCAAATGTCAATTTACCTATAAAGAACTTAAAAATAAATAAGAAAAATAAATAAATAAGCCAAACCTGAGATCCTTTTTGACAACATATGCATCCGACTCAACTATATTGGATCTTGAAAAACAAATGTATTGGTTAATGCAAGTGAAGGATATGGAATGGATTTTCCAACATCCATTTTTGGGTAACATCCACTTTCATATCCCTTTTACACATACGTCTGTTCTCATCATGTGCGATTCTTGATTCTATTAAAAAAAATACAAAGTTATACAACCATATAACCAGATAAGAATTGCACTTTTAGAAAGCATGCATATTATGGAATAAGGTTAGAACATGTTTGGTCTTCAAATGGAAGAATCTTAAGAATGACCTAACTACAAAGATTCCTAAGTATAGTGTCCCACGGTTGGTTTTTTATTCCAGTGAAGGGGATTGTATCCCATTACCTCGATGGTATATTATCTAAGAAAGTAAGAAATAAGGCTAAATGGAACTTGATGGCAAAACGCCATTCTTTCGTTGGTTATACTGAAAAATATATAAATTCTTGGAAGTGGATATATTATGTTTTGATAATCAACCTTCTATACATAAAAATCCAAAATCTTCCCGATGATAAACTTTGATAGTACACGGTCATTACAATTTTTTTTGTCTCAATAGCTTAAGCATCTAATAACAGCTTAAGGATATGAATATAAACTAAGGAACTACATACAATACATACCTAATAACCTCAGATGCTCCAGAGCTTCAAATATTCTTCTCATACTTCTTCTCTCAACTTTTACATATTGACGACATGTCTCCAATGGGTTGAAGCGCTTCAAGACTTATGAAATTGTTCATAATCTGCAATGATAACAAAATACTTTTTAATATTAATTCAAATATAAATTCTATTCGAGTACCTAAACAACTACATTATGGTGTCCCTACTTTACAGTATTATAAAAATATAAATAAAAAAAATCATACATTTTTTGCAACTTTTTCATAAATTGCATGAAAATATCTATCAATCTTTTTTTGGTCAAGGATTTAATCTCCCTCGTAATACCAAAATCATAGTATATTAATGATTCATGATTCATGATTCATCCGAGCCAATTGCAAGGTTTCTAGGATGAGAATCAACATGAAAGAAATCGGTTGGTATCTACATAAAATAGGAAAAATATATTAAAAATTCAGTAAAAAATAAAAACATTTTTTTAATGGGCTTGTTCAATTGAGTGTTTGGCCTCTTATTTTGGAAGTTTTTCTAAGTTTTGTGCCCCAAGATACTCTTTTTTAGTCTAAAAGAAAAGTTTCATTTTATTTTAGAGGCAAAATTATAAAATTATTTGACCACTTCTATTTTTTATGATCATACAAATAAATGTTGACCACTTTTTTATATTATTTTACCAACTACTCAATCAATCTGAACCCTGGAACTAATAACTCACCAAATATCTTTTGACGACAACATCTCTGTCTATTCTATCGTTTTCTACAACTAAAAACAAATACAAAAAGAGATATAGTTAACTATCATATTACTTGTTCCATCACTAACAACAACAAAAATCTAACAAGAAACATATTTGAAGATTGAATTGCTACCTGATGCAAATCGACTCCTCTTTTTTATTCCCTTTTTGTTTATCTTCATCTGACGATACCATCAAAAAAGGGTATTTGCAAGATGGTGTTAGATATTCTTGAGGTAGTAGGTGAATGTCAGTTGACATCAAGAATGCATATCATAAATGTGTTCAACAAAAACCCAAAATCAACATCAAGATAACCCAGAAGAAAAAAGTAAACACACAAAAGCTATATAAAAAAAACAGAAAATGGTGAAAAAATTGAGGGAAAGGAAGAAAACAGTAACAAAAATCGTATAAAATGCAAAGCAAGAGGTTGGAGTGGCATAGAAAATAAACCTATGAACAAAATCAAAAAGACGAACGCATTAACTGTGTGTATGCCGTCATTCCAATTTTTTGCAACAGATAGAAAGAGGGAGGCGGAGAAGGAGCGGCGATTCCCTTAATTCCTGAAAGCAAGTGTAGAAATTAGGTTTTTTTCATCAAAATTGAGAAATAAACATCAGAAATCGAAACATAACAAATCAATTATAAGTCGTTGTGCGGAGAAACAAATAATTGACTGAAAGAAGGAGAGCCCTAAGGTGAAACGCAAGAAATATGAAGAAAGAGAAGGAGACGAAATAAATGAGTGTTTGCGGTTGTGATCATAAGATGAAGGAGATTCAAGGTTACACAAGGAGGAATCAAAGAGATAAGATTATGGATTGTTAGCACATAGAGACATGGGAAGAGAAATTATATCTGGATTCGAGGTCATAGAAGGGAGAATCGATTGAATCGTTGTGAAAGAAGACGCACGAATCATTGAAATTAGTGGGAGAATTTTTCTTATATATCTTACAGCACCATTGATCTTCATATCTTCTTCACTGCAATAAATTGAAAAGAAAATAATGTATGTGTTTGTGATTTTCAAACCAGAACAAAAGAAACGGGTAATGAGGGGTGAGGCGGTGTATTATTTTATTTTAATTTTATGAGATTTAATTGTCATTAATAGATTTCTTAATTTTAAAAGTAAGTTTATTTTTGGTGAGATTTAATTGTCATTAATAGATTTCCTAATGTTAAAAGTAATTGTCATTAATAGATTTCATAAAATTGGTGGACCAAAAAAAATAGTTGATCAAATGATGATGTCGACGTAACGATCTAAAAGTGGAAAAGATAGGAATTAAACACAATCAATGATCTTAATTGTTGAAGATGATGTCACAAAGTTTCTCTTTTAATAATATTTAGAGATTAAGCGCACTATGTCGCATGTTGACAAAAAGTTTACACACGCTTGACTTTTGAGTTCAGTGAATGCTAAATGCTAACGTGTTGCTATTTATAACAAACAGGGTCTAATGAATAAAGTATATTGTTGCAAGATAATTAGTTTGATTCAAATTCAATTAGACTCGGTGATACTAAAGCTGAGGGAATCTTTGGTTTGTAAAATGTTTATTTTTATTTATTTATTTATTTATTTATTTATTTTTTAAGAATCTTCAAATGAATTGGAATATGAAGTAAGCAACCTCGTAAAAGTTAAATCAATATATCAACTAAATTAAGGGCTAAATACATAAAAAGTTGTAAAAATCACTATCTTTTGCAATTTTGTGATTCAAACACTATAATTCAGTTTTGTCAATGAACGTAATCCAAGCTTCACATTTTTTTTCTGTTTACCACTGTGAACTGCTCTAAGTGGTAAAAATAGAAAATTTTGTGGCTTTAGTGGAATATTTGTTGTCAAAGTTTTCACAAAATCTACCGAACTTTGACAAAAAGAAATCATATTGCGACCAATTTAACCTATTATACTAAGGTAAAAGTGATAAACATAGAAAAAAATTATCAAACTTAGTTGACTTTTTATTGGTGAAACTAAAATGTAACAGTTAAATTACATAAATGCCAGAAATATAATTACTCTTATGCAATTTGCTTCTAAAATTAAATCATTATTGTAATATAGTTTTGGTAACTCGTCGCTTACTTATAGAAAAAAAAAACTCTAAAATAGAAAAAGAAACTTATGAAGTAAAACACTCATGTTTTTAATTCTAGTTCAGTTGATAGGGCACTACCCATCATCAAGTCTTGTTTAGTTATCATCATACGCAACAAATCATATACAACCAAATAAAATTTTAACACATTACATTAAAAACAAAAACTCAGCAAAATGTCTACAACCACTTTTGTTGCAACATATATACACAACTGAGAAAAAAAAACAACAGTAAGCTTGCTATCTATTTCCTGATATAGCAAGCTACTTTACATCCATGAGTGTAATAAACATAAATGTTGTTTATTCATCATTTCATCCACATATATATCATATTACAAACTGAAAAACTCTATAAAATGTTCACTTATTCATGTATTGAATCATCCATGGTGGCATAACCGTCACCATTTGCGCTTGTCTTAAGTTTTCTTCCGCTTCACCCTCCATCCGCGGTTGCTCACACATATTACTGCATTTCATGTCCACACTGTTTTAATGACATGACATGACATGACATGACAGGGTTGTACTGTGTTTGGTATGCATTGGACCGAGACATTACGACATTACAACATTACGTGTGGGACAAAGATTGCAATATTTGTCTGTCTGAGACAGTCCAATATATGTCAAACACAGTACAACCTGTTCTGTCATGTACAGTCCAGTGTAACAAATGGGGTATAAAATAAAGAAGTGTATATAAGAGTAATGTTACGGGTTGTTAAAGATGTTGAATTGGAATGAGGGCAGGATTTCATTGTTTTGTTGTTGGTGCTCCAAATCATGTTGGTGGGAGGGTATGTCTTTCTCTAGTTCTTTGATTTGCTTAGAGAGGGTGTTGTTTTGATCTTGCAAATCCTTGTCCTGTAGATGTATATTTTTATTTATTTATAATAGATTTTCTTAAAGTTTTTAACGGATGTGGGAAATGTGGAGATATAATTATATATACCTTTTTTTGGAGGTCAGAAATTGATTCAAGCATCAGTTGATTCTGCAAGTAAAAAAAGTTCAGTGTTGAGACTTTTGCAAAACAAAGTTTCATTCAGTTTTCACTATTTTTAATTTTTAACATTTTATAAAATATTGGTATAAGAAAAGGAAATGCAAAAAAAATTATACCTTTCTCAGCCTAATGTGTTTAAGAGCTGTATCAAGTTGCTGCTCAAGATTTTGGAGTTCCTTGAGGCTCAAGGAATCAAGATCTTCTCCCATGAAATGCCTATAAAAATAAGTATGGTTTTCGATAATTTCTTTTACAAAAACATGTGTTGTATTTATATTTTATATAAATAAATAATTGAAATATTTACAAGTATACCTTTGGGTTTTCTGCAAAAGCTCGATTCTGGCTTTTAGTTTTGCATGTTCCAGAGACCAGCTTCCCTACAAGTATTTAGAGAGTTTTAGGAATATATATACACAAAAATAAATAATCATAAAATGTTGAATAGGGCAACATACTTGTGTTTCATTGTGGGTTGTATTTGCCTGCATTTCTGCGTATGAGTATCTTTCATATCTTTCAAGGATCCTTTCCATTCTGTTGTGTAAATGGTGTTAGAAAAATCAAAAAGAAATTCAAATGAATGAAGAAGTAAAGCAGAAGGAGAAGTGTGTTTTATTTTTACAAAGAAATTGTGTTCATGTGTTAGATATAGTATAGAATAGGTTTGCATTAGATTTTGGTGTTGCTCTATAATCCTTATATTCCAACAAATAATTTTCAAATCAATTTTAATGTAAGAAGAGTTAGGGGGATAAAATAAGAAGGGCTAATAGCTAAATGATCAATTTTAGGTCATTTTGTTCCGATTAAATAGAAAAGAAACATCCATGTATATTTGTCCATATTAACTGCTTAACTCATTAAGCATGTTCAAAACAAGCTACAACTTAGTTTATTTGTTTATGGTCCCTCGATTCCCCATTTTACCCCCACTAACTTGGTTTACCCTAATGTACCACATTGTACCATGTTTATCATGTATAATACTATACAAGTAGTAATTCAAATGAACAATACATAATGTTTATGTTTTTTCTATAAAATTATTTAAATTTAATTGATTTGGTATTCGGAGAGGAGTTAATTAGCTTGAAAGACTATGTGACATGTATGCTAAAGGGATCCTATGTTCAACAAAAAGAGACACGGGAAGCTAGAATAAATACCAATGTGTGACGTGATAAATGCCCTATTGTAAACTCATACTTGGGATTTGTCATAAGTTACTTCTAAGAGACACATTGTTGGTTGTAAATGGGCTGTTATAGTAAAGATTAATCATGGCGATGCATCCGCTGAAAGCTCAGCTGGTTGATGTTAGGAAATCAGACGACACTTGTCAAGAATCAAAACAGACCTGATGCCACTTGCCAAACTCTGATGACCCTTTTTAGGAAGTAATATGGACAACACATGAAACTAAAAGCACACAAAGACATAGTATTTACGTGATTCGGTCAAGGTGACCCACGTCCACGGGCAGGATGAGAGTATTATTTATTCATAGAGTTCTCAAACAGAGATTACAAATACAACTAACAAGGATTCGACTTACTCACTAAGGATACAAAAGACACCGAAAACATAAAGAAATGACTAGCAGACATCCTTATTTATAGACTAGGGATGAGACATAAAACCCTAATAGGCCAAGCCCATTAATCCATAGGCCCATGAAAGGTGTCAACTAATCACAATCTGCCATGCAGCTGCTTCTAGAACCTTCATCCTTGAGATACATTACATGAGCATCAGCAAAACACATGGTGGAGCATCATGAACCAAGATGGCTCGTCAAGAGTGACCATGGCACATCGTGATGGAGTATCCTCCACCATAGTGGCACATCATGCCATTTAGGGCATCCATCTTGAGCATCTTCAACATCTGAGCATCCTTGGACAATCTTGAGCATCCTAGTGGACATCACAACCTATGTGGTGCATCAAGGGACAACATGGCTCATCAAGAACATGTGTGGCGTATCAAGCCATCTAATGAGGCATCATGATGCACAAATGGTGCATCCATGCTTCAGCCACACATCAATACTTCGGAGTACACCATGACACACTAGAGTGGCATACCTTGTACCAAGGTGGCACATCTAGAACATAAGTGGTGTACCTTGTTCCCAAGTTGGAGCATCCAACTCCCAAGTAGCGCATCCTCTTCCACAATGGCACATCCTCTTTCATAACAACGCATCTACCTTCCAAAGTGGCACATCAAGCACCAAGATGGTGCACCATGCATGAAGATGGTGCATCTTGTCTATAGGTAGTGCACTCTCCTCCAAAATGGCGCATCCTTGCTTTATGGCTCATCCAGGATACTCCATTCTCTTCTTAGGTGCTCCACTCCCATCTTGAGTTCTCCATTCCCTTCTTAAGTGCTCCATTCCTTTTCTTAGATTCTCCATTCCCTTCTTAAGTGCTCCATTCCTTTTCTTAGATTCTCCAGATGCTCCATGAGAATGCTCTAAATGCTCAAGTTATATTTAACACTTGCAAAAGGTTATTGTCTAGCATATGAGATTGATTATGATGAGACATTCTCTTAACTCTCACTTAATTAATATGCTTACATGATGGCCATTGATACCCAATAATATTCATCCTTTAATAGGGGTATGACCGATGGTTGGTTACTTAATCACCCTAGATGGTTTAAGGTAATGCATGAAGAGATTGATTCCCTATTGTCAAATTATACTTGTGAATTGGCACAACTTCCTCCTAGGAAGCACATAGTTGGTTATAAATGGATTTTTACAGTGAAGATTAATCCTTATGACTCTCTCATACGTGAAGGCTCGGTTGGTTCAAAGGCTATTCCCAAGCATATGATATTGATTGTGATGAGACATCCTCGACTATCCCCTAAATAATATTCTTATATTATAGCCATTGATACCTAAAATGTTCAAGGGACTTAACTGATGGTTGGGCATTTAATCATCCTAAATGGCTTTAAGGAAATGAATGAACATGGTTTTACAGTAAAGCTTAATAACATCGGTTCTTTCATCCGTTGAAGCTTGGTTGGTTGAAAATGGATATTCTTAAGCGTATGATATTGATTATGATGAGATCCTCTCTCATTTCTCTCATAAGAAATATGTTTATATGACAACCATTTATCTCCATATTGTTCTAATAATATGGCCGATAATTGAGGCACTTAATCACCCCAGATGGTTTAAGCCAATACAGGAAGAAATAGATGCCCTATTGTTAATTAAATAATTAGGACTTGGCATAAATTCCTCCTTGGAAACACCTTGTTGATTGTAAATGGGTTTTTCATTAAATCTTAATCCTGACAGCTCTTCTATAACCTAATAGCTTGCTTGGTTGCAAAGGGTTATGCTTAAAAATATGAGATTGATTATGATGTGACCTATTCCGTTGGCAAGATTTTATCAGTTGGAATTTGTATTCCTTAGTTTCCATTAATCATTCGAAGTCAAGACTGTCCTTGGCGAAATATTTAGGATGTAAGTGTTTTTTTATTAAAGGTGTAACATCCAGGGTTTTCCAGTTATCACATTCTCTATATGGTCTTAAGAAGCCTCCTTAGATGTGGTTTGGGAGATTTTATGGCATTCTCCTAGAGTTCGGTATGACTCATAATTTTCAAGACTAGTTTGTTGTCTTTAGATAACATGAGGGTTGTTAAATCATTTTAGTAGTCTACATAGATGGCATTATCATCCCTGGATAATTTATATAGTGTAAGTTTCATGTCATGGATGTTTGACATCTTCGTTACTTCTTTGGTATATAAGCCTCCCACTCTACATAAAGGATTCCACTATCTTAACTCAAGTATATTCTTGACAAAGGTGCAACCTGGTGGGCATTGGGCAATACGATGTTTACCGTAGGAAAACTTCTTCATGACAATGACAAACTTGTGAAGGATCCAAATGATAGAAATTCTTCGAGAAATTAAACTTTTGACGATCACCCGTCTTGGCATTTTAATATCGATATGATAGGATTGGCTAAAAATCATACCACTGGAATTTTAGCGAGTTTTTATTTTTATTTATAAAACTAGATTCGACTCCGGATCTTTTGATATATTAGAAAGATGTTGAGTTTTTCCATCACTTCATTATATAGTAGTTCAAACTATGATTTGAACACCTCCTAAGCAAGGGTTTGACCCCTTACATGAGCCAATCGACCGAGAAACACTATTTTATATTAAAAGTACAAAAAATGTATTTGTACCCCTTAAACGATTCAGAATGTTAGAAAAACAACTTATGTCATAGAAATTTGACGAGTTTTTCTTATTAGGCTGTTTCTGTCCCCACGATATGAACCTAGTGCTTCGTGATATACCCCAAGACGGCCCAAGAGTGGGTTCATGGGTCGTCCAAATGGTGAGTTTACCATTGTTTTTACCATTGTTTTAGGCCTATTTTGATCAACCACGAAATTTTGTTAAATTCTAAGATCGAAATCAAGTTCGGAAAAAATGGCAAAAATAAAGAATCTTTACCTCTCAAACTAGATTATCCAAAAATCTGGTTTCTTAAAACTCAGTTTCACACCGGTCCCAACCTATTTAGAAAGGATGCCCTACTTCACCTATAAAACCGGTTGAGATCCGATCTAGATTGTACTATTCACAAGAAAATTCGGTTTATATTTTCCAAGGCCACACCACGTTTAGAGATACTCTACTCACATAGGATCATAGTCGTGTGGGTGAAACATCTACTAAGGTAAAATATTAAAGAAATTATGATTTCTCTGAACAGATTAGATTGGTTGCCCAGTTTGAACGAGATCAACTATATAGTATTCTATATTTTTTGAAGTAATCTAAGCTCTTCGAAAAGTAAGAAGCAACACACCCATATATTATCATGGTGCCAAGTTAAAATATAGATTTATGACATATATGTAATTGAAAATGATGTGTTAGGATGACTCCTTAAGTAGTTAACAATAACCACATATGACTTTATGTGATAGCCCATTCCTCACTCATATAGCCAAGAATCAATTATTCCATACGAAGACACACACACACATCAAAGTCGATCGTATGTCAAAGATGTTATGGGAACACAAACATACCCTTCATTAGTCTAACCACCACACATCCAGTTCAACCTGAAGATATTCTAATCAAACCATATAAGAAAATACAAATAGATTTCATTTGCAACGAGTTAGGATGATTAACATATTTACTCCGTTTTCAGATAGCAAGGTTGTCAAGATCGGGATCATACTCATGATCGTTTTATGTTTTACAAGATTGTGATTGTAAGATCGGGATCAGAAGATCCTACTATAAATGAACTCATTTTCAAATTTGCTCGTAACGTCTTGAGTGTGCATTATATAGTATAACTTGAGGTTAATTAAGATGTCGATATGTAATCAACTTTAACTTTTTAAGCATGAACCATAATTTTTATTACTGCAAACCATAAAAATTAGAAAAAAAAACATCTTAATTACAAAAAGAAACAAGATCATGTACATCTAAAAGCTTAAGATCACAAAAGGGATATCATGAATGTGACATGCCTAATACGATATTAATTGATAAAGTGATGATGCTCGATGAAACTTCATACAACTTGCAATACTCGATTTCAAATTGAATAAACAGATTTGAGCCTCGACTATATAATAAAACTAAAAAGGTGGTATCGGATCCTGTTAAGATCTTAAGATTCTAGTCGTTATCCTAAGATCCCACTACAAATCTTGCTTCAAATAGATCCTAGTAAGATTAGAATTGTTTTTCTCTTGTAGGATCTTAAAATGGTAAGATCTTAAGATCAAGATCAAAATTTGAACAACTATGGAAGATAACAATAGATATAATATTTATAGAATAGGTTACATTAGATTATGGTGTTCCTTTTTTCTATGTAGTTTCCTTGTAGTAATGTAGTATCATGTATATAAATCCATCATAATAGATAAGATTATTTACCGGACAACTTACATCATCCATATCCTTAGTAGGAGTCTTCAATTTCCTTTCAAATTGTTTATTTGCTCATAAACATATTACATCTACAAGCTTTAAGACTTTATTCCTTTCATGCCTCTTTAGAGATTGACCATAGTTTAGTTTGATCTTTTGAGATTACCCATAGTTTAGTTAGATCTTACATCGTAATTTGTAAAGATACCTTATTATGGAATGATAACTATAAGTGTAAGTAAAAGAGAAGGAGATTTCAAGCAAGCATTGATCCACACAAATTAAAGTTACAATATTCTTTCTTTGAATGCCTACTAATCTTGCTGATTTGTTTATGGCTATTTATGTGGCAAATGATGCTTTTTCTAGATTGTTTTTCACACAAAGGAACATGAAATTCTGGGATAATATAGAATAAGAAAAACGTTGAAAAAGTACAAGTGTTGGGAAATTAGCCAATGGGTTGGAAGACCGAAGAGTCATCTTATACTAATTTCCCCTGTAATAATAGAAATATTAAAAAAAAACTTATATTGATATCGAATAGTTTCATAGGAAGCAATGCTATTGTCGTTCCATGTACAATAAGTGAATCCTCCTATGCATACTCGTGCTTTTCCATATTGAAGTGGGAGTACGTGCATGAAAAATACATCTTCAAAAAATAATATAAACCCTAAATCTTAAGAAATGTATAGCCTAAAACCTTAAAATCAGATCAAAAGGGCTAATCGAAATGCTTAAAAGTTGTATACTTAGAGTGTTTACAACATTTTGTATTATTTGTTTAAAAAGAACTTATTATCTAATAAAGTTACTATATATAATCATATTTGAAAGCTACTCATTCAAAACTCTTGAAACTAGCTACATGATTTTACTAACAAAATATATAAAGTTTAACTTGGTCCAATAAATACAGTTTGATTTAGGGATGAGCATTAGAACTGTTGGAACCGGAACCGGAACCGGAATTGGTAATAGGTCCGGTTACCGGTTCTCCATCTTTACGAAAACAGGTCCCGGTTCTAAAAATCGGAACCGGTTTGACATTTTTTTTCATTTTTTAAAATGCGCATAACTCGCTCATATGAAGTCGGAATTATTTGATTTTTTTTCCAACATGTAATTTGGAGTTTGTAATTCATTTTTGACGGTACAAACATATGTTTTGGTTAGATATTGAATCAGACACATGCCCCGAAAGAAAGCATATCGATGCTGCGTTTTTTTTATTTAAGCATTATTTTTTTGTTTTTTTGAATCTGTCCCATTTTTTAAATGTGTATAACTCATTCATATGACGTCGGAATTACTTAATTTTTTTTCCGGCATGTAATTTGGTGTTTGTAGTTCATTTTAGACTATAAAAACACATATTTTGGTTAGATATTGAATCAGTTATAAACCCCGGAAGACAACATATTAATGCTGCGTCTTTTCTGTTTCAGCACTTTTTATTTTTTTGGAATCTGTGCCCGCTTTTAAAATGCGCATAACTCACTCATATGAAGTCGGAATTACTTGATTTTTTTTTCATCATGTAATTTAGTGTTTGTACTTCAATTTAGAATGTAAAAAGTCATAATTTTGTTAAATATTGAATCATTTACAAGCTCCGGAAGATAGCATACAATCTATAGTATTTCAACCGGTTCTACTTTGAAAAATAACCGAAAAACCGGGACCGGAACCGGAACCGGCGCTAGAACCGGCGGTCCGGTTCCCGGTTCTTATAATATAGGAAAACCGATTCCGGTTCCGAACCGGCCCGGTTCTAAAGCTCATCCCTAGTTTGATTATTCATTAGTATGTGTGTAGTTATACTTTTACATATAACAATTGTACGTTTACATATAACATTATGCACGTTTTGTTTCCCATAGTAATTAAGAAATTGTAAAAAATAGAATGCGGAAATTTTAATTAGTCAAATTATGTCTTAATTAAGTTATCATAGTATGCTAAAGTTGTTCAAAACTTCTACAATAATTTACTTCCCATATTTTTCACTTATAAAATGGACAAATTAACCAAAATTGACATTCATATGAAATGATGAGAATTGTCTTGTATATTAGAGCATAAAAAAAAAAAAATAAAAAATAAAAAAATTACTATTTAATAACACTGTTGTAGGTGGTATAAATATAATTACTGTTACTGGACCTCTTAATAACGCAATAGTTAGAAATCTATTTATTCCAACAATAAAAGCTAATTAAGTCTTAAATACGTTAAGTAATAACACAACATAACACGTTTCTATCACTAATACCAAAGGGATTAGAATCTACAAGAAATCCATAAGATTATCAATTTAAAATTATGTTATTACTAACAAATAGTTAGTTTATTTATTTATTTATTTTAAATAAGAAAGATAAACGTACATATACGTTCAGTATTTTACAGAAATCCCAAACTGTTATTTTCTCTCTCTCCAAGGGATACATTAGTACAACAGTACTACTCACATTAAATATTTAGCTAAGTGTGTAGTTATACTTTTACATATAACAATCCAATTTTATTGGTTTTATTTACACAAGTACAAAGATAATGTCAGATTAATATAGTTCTAATGGAAGGAGTGTATCTGATTGTACTTATGCTTAAAACTTAATCAGTATTCTCACATAAGCAAACATCAATTGAATGTGGCCACTTGTAAATAGATAAGTATTTTAACTTGAAGGTTATCAATGATTGATGGCATTACCTATTCAACTCCTTGTTTTAAGTGATTATGAATTCAAGATTCAATAGTGCTAATTATTCTCTTTGAGTTAATTATAACTTGTTTTTCCTTAACAAAGATCTTAAACTTGAAGTCGTGAAATACTACACATTGGGAAAATAGTACACATGCAATAAAAACGATACATGAATTTGGTTTTAATTAAATTTCTTTGTCTCCCTCTTTATTGTATAAATTTAATCTTCTTCCCCTCTCCCCCTCCAAATAAAAGAATTGAAAATGACAGGAAATAAAGGATTTTGAAACCTTAAATGAGAAAAAAAAAAATCCTCGTATCTCAATCGTATTAAACTGTCGTAGGTAAAGCTTTTGAAATTTTCTCTAAAATCAATGATCATTAAGAGTATATAATGCTATATAAGCCTAAAATATCTAAGCAGAAACGAAAGAAACAACTGTGAGGAGTTGCCACTTGCCTGATATGACCAGACCTACTGACACTAACTCCCCCCCTAAAATCATCAGTTTTTTTTTCCTCACATGAACAACATGCTCTATTTCTGATTCCAAACCAGCTCATAAATCAAAAACCCTAAAAAATCTAACTTTCAACAACTCATCACGCATATACCAATAGAGAAGAAGAAGAAAACACAAACGTATCATGCACCGATTCAACAGAAACTACGATTCTCAAAAGATCGTGATTGAACTTAGATTCGTGGAAGAAAACCGTGCATGAATTCCATTGGTTTCATCATGTGGTGTTGCACAAAGAAAAAACTAATATAAGATCAACCGGAGACTTCAATTTCAACGGAGGAAAAAATCAACATCGAACGCAGAACCATTAATGTAACGATGAATATCAGAGAAAGTAAGAGGCGGGGATGAAAGATGAAAGAGTACGCACCCGGAATCAGTAGAGTACTCGCAGAGCTTTCCTTTAGTAGAGAAGACGATGAGTGCGACATCGGCATCACAGAGAACGGAGATCTCATGAGCTTTCTTCAACAATCCCGACCTCCGTTTTGAGAAAGTCACCTGCCGATTGATCTTGTTCTCTATCCTCTTCAACGTCACCCTTCCTCTTCCCATTTCTCCGGCGATCGATTACCCTCTCTCTCTCTCTCTCTCTAAGTCTTTCTCTCACACACACAAAAACTTAGTTTCTCTACAGTTATAACCGTATTAAGCCAGAAATGCCGGTTCCTTTTAATACCCATTTTAACACTATTGTCCCATTGGTTGTTATTCCACCCAAAATAAATATAAAATAATCAACGTCATAAATGCGATATTATAATTAAAAAAATAGTTAACGTCATAAATAGAAAAAATAAACTCTTTGTTATTTTACAAAATATTATTGTTATAAAAAGTTATTTGTTTTGTTCATCAAATACCATTAAGAAACATAAATTTTAGTAGAATATATTTGGATAGTCTTTTTTTTATATTAGAATAGTAGGGTTTTTTTGGAAAACTAAAACAAGTAATTTGTTAATTATATTCGATTTTAACGCTAAAAAAGTATCTTATTATAATAAGTATTTAAAAAAATAGTTAGGAAACATAACGTGTCCAGGTATATGGAATAAAATGATGATGATTATCACAATTCAAAATTTTCAACAATCATTAACAAGATTTCTAGAAATGGTAATAGCCGAATTTGTAGAATATATGTGTTTCCTAAGCAATATATTGCGTATTTGAATTTTTTTTTTGTTACTAATAATTTATCTCATAATTATTTTCAAATGTTTTTTCATAAATGTTTTAAGATATAATTATTTATGTTCAATATGTGTCTTTTTTACAGAAAATTAGAAAATTTGTAGATTTACGCCACAAGAAAGAAACGATAATTTATATCTTACGTATTTTGATAGAGAATATTATTATTTATGGACAGAAATTTCAAATTATGAAAATTCAAAGATAATATAAACAAGATAAAAATGTAGTCTATTTTTAGAAATTTAGTAGATATTCCTTTTTCGAAAGGAAAAAGTATAATTAAAATATAATATCTGGGAAAGTGGACACAGAAAACCAGGTAGTATTTGAAAACCACAGTGGTTTCAGAAAACGTTGTCGATCTGTGATTGGTTGAATGGGATATTACCGCTGTTTGTGTCTGGTGGCAGAGGGACCACATCGTACAACCTCGAAGGTAGAGAGAGGTGCAAACCCCACACAACGAAACCTCTTTCGTTTCGTGCTTTTTGGTTTAAAAACCCTTGCCGACCAAGATATTAATACGCAAAAAATAAAAAACATTATAAATGGTGGTTTTTTAAAATCTGAAGTTTAGTCCCCGTGGTTTAAAAACCTCATAGATGGTCCCTGTGTTTTCAAAACTTTTGACGATTGGTCCTTATTGCTAACTCCGTTAACTTTTGTCCGTTAATTGAGGGACATTTTCGTCATTTCACACCACATAGACCATTTATGATGTTTTTTCGTATTTTTTTTAAAAAGAAAAAATTAAATATAATTAAATATAAAAGGTCTCTCTCTCTCTCTCTCTCTCTCTCTCTCTCTCTCTCTCTCTCTCTCTCTCTCTCTCTCTCTCTCTCTCTCTCTCTCTCTCTCTCTCTCTCTCTCTCTCTCTCTCTCTCTCTCTCCCCAATAATCCATGTCAAATAAATAGGTACATAGTGAAGAAACGAAGATCCGAAATACCCACCAAATCGAACAGGTTGTTGAACATGAATTAATACGCTTGCTGACCAAGATATTAATACGCAAAAAATTTATATATATTTGTTTGTTTTGTAAATTTATTATATAATTTAGAATGTAGAAAATAAAAAATAGCAAAATTTTCCTTTTAATAGTTTGTTTTAAAAAAACTTATAAAAATAATGAACAATAATAACACAATAAACTTATATATTTCTAACCAAAGGAATTGAAAGTTGCAATCAACCAAACACATTAGGCAACAAATTAGAAAAAAAATGTGCATTGTAGACGTCAAATCACTTCCATATAATTCTATAAAAAGGAAATGAGTTTTGCATGTTACTAGAGTCCAAATGATAATACGAAAATAATAGGGAGTCGGTGGTTGAACATGTGAGGTAAGTGATGAAAGTAATGAGGATTGCTACCCAAGTGAGGGACTAGAGAACTCCTCATAGACTTATATTCAAGATAACAGGTCAAGAAAATGATGATTTTGTAGATAATACGTGAAGGAAATGATGCTTCTGAAAGATATTCTTAGGATGTCAACCTCGTACATATGAAAGAAGCCCCAACCAAATTGTGACTAAGAATTTTGACACATAGCCTATGCTTGTCCCAAGAAGAAAAGCAACAACGCTTGTATATTAAAGAAAAGTGATCACTAGAATGTAAAGGGGCGAGTGTTTCATATGACTGTTGGGGAGGCTCGCTAGACCGTAGTAATGTAGACTACTTATTGAAGTCTTGTGGCTATTAACAAAGACTTTAGAGATGTTTGTGTGGAAAAATATTACCACAAAATGCAACTTATTGGTTTTGATATCATCTTGGACATGGATAGATTAAATTAAGTAATAATCAAGTAGAATTTTGTTATGGAAGGAACACGGTATGAGTTAAATCACCTATGGGTGAACTAATTGTGATTTCCCATAGATAAGCTAAGATTAAGCTTGTGAGTGAACTAATTGTGATTTCACATAGATAAGTTAAGATTGAGCATGGATGGGATTTCGTTACACAAGGCATGAAAGTGCTTGGCTACATTATGTGCTTAATGCCACGAAAAAAATAAGACGATGAATGATATTAAAGTGTTTTCGGAGTATCATGAGGTATTTCTCAATGACTTCCTACAATTAATATTAGATCACTAACTTAGTTCCATATTAACTTGTTGTTAGAAACGACATTGATTGTAGATGTGCCATATCGTTAGTCATTGATGAAAATGAATGAACTTATGGCACAAAGGGTTTATTCACTTGATTTCTTCATATTTAGGAGCTCCTTGAAATTTAATGGAGTCAATGTAATTTACTTAAATGTAAAGGTACAATACAAGTGAAATATAAACTTGCTTACAAGGACAATGACGTCGACTACACTGGGCTACAAGTAATGGGCTATTCAAGTGGTCTGCAACATAAAAACAAATACACACTAACATCCTCCTGCAATTTTATTGGGAGGTAAATGACGAACGTTTAAACTGTAGCGAAAATCAGAAAACAAACTTATCGATGGCCCTTTCGTGAATATGTCAGCATACTAAGATAAGGATGAGACGTGAAATCAGTATGTGTAACGTTCCAATTTTAGTAGGTAAATTAGATATGATGTGTATGATGTATACATGTATATGTGTAATATTAATGAAGTATAAAGTGTTGTTAGGAACTTAATTGTTAAGAGGGGCATTTTGGTCATTTACTATGATTTGTAAGTTCAAATTAGTTAAACATGTAAATTATGTCTTTATGCTTAAAGATGATAATTTAGAGTTAAAAAGGAAAGGAAAGAATCAATTGCTATGATTAAAAGATAAATAGGGGTAAAATGGGAATAAATAGAACAAATTATGAGATTTCAGGAACCACGACATGGTGGAGGTAGGGCCACGCCGTGGGAGGCGGTGATTTTTTTCATGTAAAAATGATATCAATGTACTTGAAAGAACCACGACATGGAAGGGATATGCCACGGCATGGTGAAAGTAGGTTGTTAGATATTTTAGTGATGAAAACATTTTGTGACGGATAAAAAGTGTCATGAAATTTATTAAAACGTGATAACATGCTTTGCCCGTCACCACAATGTGCTCATGATGCCATAACAACGTGGTGACTGTATCATAAGAAAAATGTAAAAGACGTAAACTCATCTTTTTCACCTCAAAAACACACCACAACAGAGCAGAGGTGACACTTAGCAAAAATTAGGCGGTTTCATAGTTAGAGGGTTGAATCTTGAAGACAAATTGAATAAATGAGCAGCCAAGCTTCATCTTTGTGTGTAGATTTAAGGTATGAGGTTTGTTCCCTTGAATTCTTCTTGAAATTGTAGGAAATTGAATTGGGGCTAAGAACCCAAATCTAAAATCAATTGTGATATGGGTGAAACCGAAGTGTATTAGGTCGTTAGAGGTGTGTCTAGTTCAATTATATGTTGGATTTGATGTTTAAGCCCATAACTATTATTGGTATGTACTCGACCCCAGAGTAGCATGGTCCATTTGGGTTGCATAACACCAGGACAATTTGTTAGGATGGACTCTTGAGAAAAGGTTATATATGATTTATTAATATATTATAAGTTCTAATATATTAATATGAAATCATATGTTTTAATTAGTATTGATCAAGAATTAATTTGGAATTAATTTAGTGATCAAAAAGAGACTAATTAAATCTATGAGGACTAATTATGGTAATTAGTTATATTTATATGTGTTGGGCTTATGATCCATGTTGGACCAAGTTTATGTATGGACACATAAAGAGTTGGGCCACATGAACATGGATCTTAATACCCATGGGTATGGATTTGGGTTATACCCATAACCCTTGGAATCCAACATATAAATATGTACTCCTTAGCCAAAAAACGCCTACACACACATTCTTGGAGTTCATGAGGTGTTTTTGGTGCATGGAGATTCTCTCTCAAGAGCCACCTTTGTCCTAGGTGAGTTGTGAGCCATTTGAGGCATTTATACTTTTGGTGCTAAGCTCTTAAGGCCAAATACAACAAGGTTTCAAGCTACATAAAAGGTATGTCATCCTAACTAGTATTTTATATTGTTTATGTCAATTACATGATAGTTATAGGCTTAATGCTTTGGAAATACCATTACATGTATAATTAGAGAAAACATAGATCCAAGGCATTTAGGGTTGTATGTGCACCAAAGGATGTTGTAGTATACAAAACCCAACATTATATGTGTGTGAAGTGATTAACATGACTTAACATTTGAAATGGGGATTTTACCTCATGAACCCTAATCGGGATTTGATGAAAATAGTTAGGTTTTGGATGTATGATATTGATTTGAGTAAGAATGAGCATGATAAGAGTGTTATTGTATAGTTATTATGTTCCAATTCATGAATTGAAAGTTGATTGCTATAAACTTGAATTGTGAAAAATAATGAATATATATATATATATATATATATATATATATATATATATATATAT